CCCCCATTTTTCGATTTAATCTTTAGTTCTACCCAAACCAGTGCGCAGTCTATTTAAACATCTCCAAACTGTCCACTCTTCCTCCGAATCTCCAGGCAGCTCCTGAAGTGGTTCTATCCAATCTTAAAGATGTCTTGCTTGGGATTTCCATCTTTTTAATCGTTCTGTTTGAGGTGTGGTGGCAGTCTTCTCGGTGCAATCTAAAAAGCTCCTCTTTGATTTCAATCTTTTTGTGGGGAGGTACTTGGCCAAATAATGGGTGTGCCAGATCATGTAACACCTTTCCATATGCCACGTCTTGTGCCATGCTCTTTCTAACACCTGGCGAATGTCCCCTACATCCTCCAGAGTCCAGACAAATGTCCTTCTACTACATGATATACAGGTAGTCCTCGACTTATGACCATTCGTTCAGCGATTGTTCACAGTTACAATGGTGGTGAAAAAGGAGAGTTATCACCAGTCCTTGAAGTTGCAGCTGTCCCAGCACCCTTGTGGTCACGTGATTGCAATCTGGGTGCTCGGCAACCCATTCGCACTTACAACTGGTTGCCAAGTGCCCCATGATCATTTGATCACCATTTGCAATCTTTCATGCTGGCTTCCCAGAAAGTCAAAGGGGAAGCTAGCAGGGAAGATTGCAAGTTGCTGGGGTAAGTCTACCCCACCTGTGCACCCTCCCTCAGCCCCTCTGCACTCATGCCGTGCCAGCCACTCGCACGCCCCTGTGCACCCTCCCTGACCTGTGCGGCGCCTCTTGCCTACCCTACCCTCCCTGACCCATGTGGCATTTATTGTGCATCCCCGTGTACCCTCCCTGACCTGCACCACACCCTCCCTGTGCAATAATTAAAACAACAAAGATCCAGACAATACCAAAGCAAGTCTGGAGAATGATCCAGAGATGGGTTAAGTTTTGAAAATACAGTGGAGTAAACTGGAGCCAAATTCTACAGCAGAACAACAAAAAGATCATTTCAGCAACTCGTCTCAATGCTGATATGCAGAAGCAACAATGAACCGATCTGGGGGAGATGGATGGCATATAAATTTAATAAATAAATAATCCCCCACTTAAATTTTTACATTTCTTGGTTGACTTAGTTCACTTGAAGCATGATTCAAGCAGGACAAATTTCTGAGTCCTGAATAACCCTGTAGCACTAAGGAGTTTACCCTTGGGAACTTGCATTTGCTGTTCTATGCATTGCTCTGGTACCACTCTCATGAACTTTGACACTGAGCTGGTTCTTCCAGATAAGATAGCTGTAGCAGGATCAGAAAAAGTAGAAGGTCCTGGTTTTGCCCCTGAATCCCCAGTCAAATTTGAGTCTTTAGGCAAATAGACTTCATCTGGCTCTGAAGCCTTTCTTCTGATGAAGAGATTGTCTTAGGAGGTCCTAACAGAGGAGGAATCTAAAGAGTGAGGTAAGAAAAATACATCCTTTTTCTTCTCCTCTATTCTGAAACTTCACCATATATAGGTAGTCCTTGCCTAATGACTGCAGTTGGGACCGGAATCTCAATTGTTGAGCAAAGTGGTTGTTAAGTGGGACACCCACATGACTGCTTCGCTCAATGACTGCAATTCAGGCACTCCCAGTTGCGATTGTTAAGCGATCTCCTGGATTGTTAAGTGGAAGGAGCGAAAAAGCTGTCTGTCTTTGAGAGT